GGAACCCGGGAGGCGGAGCTTGCAGTGAGCTGAGATTCGGCCACTGCACTCCAGCCTAGGCGACAGAGCCAGACTCAGTCTCAAAAAAAAAAAAAAAAAAAAACCCAAGAGAATTTATATTGAAACTATAGAATTTCATCTCTATATTAGTGAGAGATGAAATTCAAAAATAGCCATAAAAGTTAACTGTACAAAATGACTTTCCTATATACCATTACTAACCACTTAGCAAACATTATGGAGAAAAAATCAATTTGCAATAGAAACATATAAATCACCTATGGAGAACAAGAGCTTTCAGGATCAATATGAAAAACAGAAAATTGAGAAGCACAAAGGTGTGTCTGCACAGGGTCCCATGCTTGAACTTTAGGGCTTTGTAGCTGCCATCGTGAAATTCTTTTTTGGTTTTGGGTTTTTTTTGTGTGTGTGGGGAGGGAATAGGGTCTGGCTCTGTCAGCCAGGCTGTGGAGTGCAGTGGTGCGAACATAACTCGCAGCAGCCTGGACCTCCTGGGCTCAAGCTAGCCTCCCATCTCAGCCACCTGAGTAGCTGAGACTACACATGTGCGCCACTGCACCCAGCTAATTTTTAAATTTTTTATAGAGACAGACTCTCACTATGTTGTCCTGGCTGGGTTTTTTTGTTTGTTTGGTTTTTGGTTTTTTTTTTTGAGATGGAGTCTCACTCAGTCACCCAGGCTATAGTGCAGTGGCCCAATCTCAGCTCACTGCAACCTTCGCCTCCTGGGTTCAAGTGATTTTCCTGCCTCAGCCTCCCAAGGAGCTGGGACTACAGGTGTGTGTCACCACGCCCAGTTGATTTTTTGTATTTTTAGTAGAGATGGGGTTTCACCATGTTAGCCAGGATGGTCTTGATCTTCTGAACTCGTGATCCACCTGCCTCGGCCTCCTGAAGTGCTGGGATTACAAGGTGTGAGCCACCACGCCTGGCGGTCCGGGCTGGTCTTAAAGTCTTGGGCTCAAGCAATCCTCCCACCTTGGCTTCCTAATGTGCTGGGATTACAGGCATGAGCCTCCATGCCCCGCCCTGCCAAAAAAAGAAATTTGTACTTAGTTTTTTCCCCCCAGGTTCCTCTGTGTGTTAAAAAAGGTTGAATGGGGAACCTGAAATTCCTCCTTTCCTGCTCTTGGAAATGTAGGGCACTTCCCTTTCTCCACAGTGTCAGTAGACGTTGTGTGGAGACTGAACTTCCAGCCCTGCCTGGTGAGAATGAAGTGTTTGTTCCTGTCCTCTCCACCCTCTCTGTGGTATTGGTCGGGGCTGAGAGGGGAGCCTGGATTTCTACCTCCACCCGTGGTAATGAGGTCACAACTCCCTTTTCCCACCAGTGTGATGTTGGCTAAAGAATATTTAAATCAGATTGAGAGCCTCCTAATATGACACCCCAAACTTTCAAGATACAATAAAAAAATCACTCACCATCTGAGGGCAGTGGCTCCCACCTGTAATCCCACCACCTTGGGAGGCCAAGGTAGGCGGATCACCTGAGGTCAGGAGTTCATGACCAGCCTAGCCAACATAGCCGAACCTCATCTCTACTAAAAATACAAAAATTAGCTGGGCGTGGTGTTGGGCGCCTGTAATCCCAGCTACTCAGGAGGCTAAGGCAGGAGAATCACTTGAACCCAGGAGGCGGAGGTTGCAATGAATCAAGATCGTGCCACTGCACTCCAGTCTGGGAGACAAAGTGAGACTCTGCCAAAAAAAAAAAAAAAAAACGCAACAAACAAACAAACACAAAAAGGCCGGGCACAGTACCTCATGCCTGTAATCCTAGCACTTTGGGAGGCTGAGGCGGGCGGATCACCTGAGGTCAGGAGTTCCAGACTAGCCTGGCCAACATGACAAAACCCTGTCTTTACTAAAAGTACAAAAATTAGCCAGGTGTGGTGGTGGGAGCCTGTAGTCCTAGCTACTCAGAAGGCTGAGGCAGGAGAATCGCTTGAACCCGGGAGGCGGAGGTTGCAGTAGGCTGAGATCATGCCATTGTATTCCAGCATGGACAACAAGAATAAAACTCCTTCTCAACAAACAAACAAAAAAGTGCTAGCATGTGCCAGACGGATCCCAGACCACCATCTCGCTCTCTTTTTTTTGTTTTTTGAGACAGTGTCTTGCTCTGTCGCCCAGGCTGGAGTACAGTGGCACGCTCTCAGCTCAATGCAACCTCCGCCTCACAGGTTCAAGCAATTCACCCGCCTCAGCCTCCCAAGTAGCCGGGATCACAGGTGCACACCACCTCGCCCGACTAATTATTGTATTTTTTTGGTAGACACGGGGTTTTGCCATGTTGGCCAGGCTGGTCTTGAACTCCTGGACTCAAGTGATCCATCTGCCTTGGCCTCCCAAAGTGCTGGGATTACAGGCGTGAGCCACTGCACTCGGCCTCTGATTTCTTTTCTTAAAAATAGACATAGAGGGGGAGGGATAGCATTAGGAGATATACCTAATGTAAATGACGAGTTAATGGGTGCAGCACACCAACATGGAACATGTATACATATGTAACAAACCTGCACATTGTGCACATGTACCCTAGAACCTGCATGTTGTGCACATGTACCCTAATCATTACACTTAAAGTATAATAATTTAAAAAATAGATATAGAGACGGGTTCTATGTTGCCCAGGCTGGTCTTGAACTCTTGGCCTCAAGCCATCCTCCCTCCTTGACCTCCCCAAGTGCTGGAATTACAGGCGTGAGGTGCTGCGCCTGCCTCCTATTCTGATTTCAAAGCACTAAGACCACAGCTGATTGCTGAATAAGGAGTGGGCGTGTCAGCTACCTCAGTGGGGACGGCCGGCGGGGGGGAGCAGACAGGCTCCTGGGCCCTGTACTCTCCCACCACCCAGTTCCCCCCACCATCCACCTGTAGGCACCCCCTGTCCCCTGGAGTCTCTAACACAGAGCTGGCAGGGTACAGCCGGGCCTGGGCTGCCAACCTGGCTTGCCTGGTTCCTTAGGCCCTGAGGTTGGGGACCAGCTCCTCCCCACTTCCAGCCTGGCCCTCCAAACCCAAACCAGGTCAAGGTCATGGTGCTGGGACAACAGACCTCCCCCTGAGCTCAACCTTACCTTGAAAGCCCTGTCTCTTCAGGTTCTCGTCCACCAGAGGGTCCCCGGAGTCCCTCTCTGGGGGCAGGGCAGGGGGAGAGACGCCAAGTGAGGAGGCAGTTCCTGGGACCCAAGATGGCATCGTTAGGGGAAACCCAATGCAGGGGTGTGGGGAGAATGCCAGGGACAGGATGGGAGCAGGACAGAGGCAGCAGGAGGAGGGGCTGGTGGCAGAGGCCCCTGGGGCCCTCCCTTGCCCGCCCACACCACGGCCCACAACCCTGCGCTGGGTACCTTGACTCTCCACGATGGGCTCTTTGAGCAGCTCAGGCCTGGAAAACACAAGTGGGGGCTATCACAGAGGTCCCTCCAAGCATCTGTGGGACTGCCCAGCACTCCCCTCTGGGCCTCCTCTGCATATCCCTGTAATGGACCCTCCTGGGTCCACACAGTTCAGGCCTGGAGTCCCTGTCACCCCATGTGTGGAATCTGGGGGGCTGTGCTGGGCTTGAAGGGTCCAGCTGGGAGTGAGACCTGCCCAGTCCTGAACACAACTGTCTGATATCTCACTCCTGCTCCCAGGACATTGCATGATTGTCACTGCCGGGGATTGGAGCAGGCGGCCTCAGAGGGCCTCCCGTGGAGCTGGTTTAAAGTGTAGAAACAAGGTCTGGTGCAGTAGCTCACGCCTGTAATCCCAGCATTTTGGGAGGCCGAGGAGGATGGATCACTTGAGGTCAGGAGTCTGAGACTAGCCTGGCCAACATGGTGAAACCCATCTCTACTGAAAATACAAAAAATCAGCTGGGTGTGGTGGCAGGCGCCTATAATCCCAGCAAGTCGGGAGGCTGAGGGAGGGAAATCGCTTGAACCCAGGAGGGGGAGGTTGCAGTGAACTGAGATAGTGCCACTGCACTCCAACCTGGGTGACAGAGCAAGACTCTGTCTCTAAATAAATAAATAAATAAATAAATAAAGTGTAGAAACAGTCGGGGCCCACTACATAGCAAGAACTCCAAGCTTCTGGAAAGGTCTCAGATCTATGGCTCACATCTGAGACTGCTGTGTCACTGCAGTCGGGAGCACCAGTGACCAAGCCCAGCTCCGTATTATACTAATGTCTTTAGCTCCACAGACTCCAGAAAGCCCTGCCCGGACATGAGTCAACCTTCTTTATCATAGAGCACTGCTTCTTAAGGCCCCATCTTCAGCACAACTTGTCCCCTTAGAGCAAGCCTGTTGGGGGACTGGGGTTTGTGGTGGGTAGAGGACACTGGGAAAATCATGCTGGCCAGAGCAGGGCTGTCGGGGGATGGCAGGGTGGGCCATGGAGTGCAGAGGTAATGAGCTCTCTGGAGAGGTAATGGACTTGTAGAGGTAATGAGCTCTCTGTCACAGGGGTAATCAAGCAGCAGCACCTAGGAGTCTCTGCCTGGGAGTGAGACCAAGGGCCAAACTCTCAGGGAGGGCACCCCCTGGGTCCCCAGTAGATGAGGATTTGGTGCCCACTCTGGCGGTGGGCTTCTGTACAGTGCCAGGCACAGAGCTGAGGTCACGGGGCCAGGGCTGGGAGTGGGAAGCATAGCCCTGCCTTGAACCACAGTCTCGGGAGCTAGAAAAGGCTTCGGACTGCATTTAGGCCCCTCCTGTTTATGGGAGAACTCAGGTTCCGAAAGGGGAAGCGAGTTCCCAACAGTAACCTCAGAGAGGCCGAAGCTGGGCAGAGCCCCTGAGTCCAGGTCCAAGTAGTGACAGTGGTTCTGCTTAAATAGCACAGCCGGCTGCCAAGGCCACGGGGAGTAACAGGAGGAGCTGGCCTCAAACCCACCAGACGGCCTCTCCTGTCGGCCACTGCGCTAACCTGCCTCCCTTTCCAAATGACAGGTGGAGAAAGCCATCGTGACTTTAAAAACTGCTCATGGCTGGGCGCGGTGGCTCAACCTGTAATCCCAGCACTTTGGGAAGCTGAGGCAAGGGGATCGCTTTGAGCCCAGGAGTTTGAGACCAGCTTGGGCAACATAGCGAGACTCCCCTTCTCTATAAAAAATGTAAAAATTAGCCAGGTGTGGTGGCGTGCTCCTGCCGTCCCAGCTACTCAGGAGGCTGAGGCAGGATTGCTTGAGCCCCGGAGTTTAAGGCTGCAGTGAGTTATGACTGTGACACTCCAGCTTGGGCTACAGAAAGACCTGTCTCTTAAAACAAATGCTTATGGCCAGGCATGGTGGCTCACACCTGTAATCCCAGCTACTTGGGAGGCTGAGGCAGGAGAGTTGCTTAAACCTGGAAGGTGGAGGCTGCAGTGAGCCGAGATGGCACCACTGTACTCCAGCCTGGGTGACAGAGCGAGACTCTGTCTCAAAAAAATCCACAAAAGGCCGGGCATGGTGGTTCACGCCTCTAATCCCAGCACTTTGGGAGGCCAAGGTGTACGGATCACTTGAGGCCAGCCTGGCCAACATGGTGAAACCCCGTCTCTACTAAAAATACAAAATTTAGCCAGGCGTAGTGACATGCGCCTGTTATCCCAGCTACTCAGGAGGCTGAGGCAGGGGAATCGCTTGAACCCGGGAGGCGGATGTTGCAGTGAGCCGAGATCACGCCACTGTACTCCAGCCTGGGCAACAGAGTGAGTGAGACTCTCAAAAACTAGGAAAAAAAACCACAAAAACAAAAAACCAATGCTCATGAGCACAAGATGTCTCTGCACAGAACCATAGAAAATGTCACTCATGAGGACTTGCTGTTGAATGGGCACCTAACCTCAAGCTGACCGGGTGCCCCTGGTTTATGCTTTGAGGGAGTGGGCGTTGAAAGCAAAAACCAAAACAAAAACCAGAATGAGAGCCTGTCTCTAAGAATTTTTAGAAAATAAAATAACATTCAAACTCTTTAAGCTGGCCCCAAACCCATGTGATCTGGCCCCTGCCCACCTTTTTATTTTTCTTTTAATTTATTTATTTATTTATTTATTTATTTTTGAGACAGAGGTTTTTTTTT